TGGCCGGCGACTAATCGTTTTTTCGATGTGTGCTTGGTGAAGGGTTTGACATTTTATTCATCGTCCGTGTAGTTAGTCCCGTATCTGATCTGCGACGTACAGTGTAAGGTGTCTGGTCACTATCATCTTATACAGTTTGTATGGGCTCATTCGGCACACTACTGGTGTGTTGTTCTCTCATAGATCCCATCGCGTTTGGTTCTTTGAGTGACATATCATCTCTAGGAGGCATATCGCTGATTGTCTTCAGTCGAACCTCAGATGGTAGCTTGCAACGGAACATGTACCAGCTTTTTAACATCCGTGCTACCATATGTTTTGACTGAAGGACCACCTTTAACACTCTCGGTCCAATTCCTTTGTAGTTCGGTGAGGTACGCAGTCGTGACACGGATTTCGCTACCACATCATCCAAGCGGAGTGTTTCACGAATATAACACCACTGTTCTTTATCATGGATTATTATTTCATGCTGATCACATGCTTCCGTTTCAGGAACCCCGTGAAGAAGTATGGTTCTGGTTGAAGTTTCCTTCCAGTAGTCCTCTAAGGTGCGGTTAACTCGATAACGCTCGCCCCATGGGTTGTCTGAAAAGATACGGATGGAGCAGTGTTCATTTCTGAGACTACCTGCCGACAGCAGTACTGATTCTACTACACGCAGAAGTCTCGGCTCTCCGAAATGTTTAGAGTTGGGGTGTCGTGTAATACGCATTACGTGTAAAGGTGTAAGTACTACACCGATTAGGTTACTAATAATGTCCCACTGATTGAGGTCATCCAATTGCCTGCCTCTTATCGATGTGGACTTTGATTCTGGGATATTGGAGCACAGTACGCTCAGTACAGGTAGTTGTTTCTTTAGACCTTTCGACATGTCGCGTTTAGTGATTGAAGTAATCGGAGATTTACCGCAGGAAACCGGTGGTGCTTGCACCTGGAAAACTCCGCTACGCTCCTCAGTTTCCGATCCAGTTGAGGGTGATGTTACTTTTATATGACGGCTCTTCTTGGAGGCAACCGTAACCCACCTTTCGCTCGTAACGGCTTGCTCTTTTTCTACGCACTCCGTCGCGAGTTTGGAAGTAGCCTTACGTGTAGTTACTCCGATCGAACTGGGAACCGCTTTAGTCAAATGTGAGCTACATGTGGTATTAGGACAGCTGTTGATGTTCTGGACTCTAGGTGTCGTGTTGCTTACGGTGTTATTAACAGTTCTTCGCGGGTTAGGAGAAGCACTTACGGGAGAGGATTGAGTTGCACAGTCTGCTATGCTTACCCCAACCCCAGTGATTTTGGTGGTCACCATTTCCTCAAACTTCTCTAGTAGCTGGTCATACTTCTGAGATAATAGGAGCATGCTTTTTATCAGTGGGATCGATGTGCATTCCACACAGAACCATAGCGAGTCTGGTTTGCTTAATAACTTGGCCTGACTAGGTTGAACTCTGAGGCATCTCGCATGGAAGAACTTGCAACAGTTACGGCACAAAATGCCCCCCTTAACAAGTTTGGAACATGATCCACATAGGTCTTTAGTCTGTGGCACGCCGGGTATCACGCTTGTTGAGCAAATGTTACGAACCATTTGATTTACTCACCTTCTATGATAAAAGGTCGTTCTGTTATTGACGTTGTCGGTAAGGTCACAGTGGTCACGTTGCAGTTGTGTACTTTTATACTGTCCTCTCTGGCGTGCCAGTTGAATGTGACGGCTTGAACTCGGGGCAGAATACACGAAGGTGTGGTTGAGAATTTTCGTGGTTTAGCCTATGGATTGCGCCGGGTGAATTTGCTTTGAGACCTGTAGCTGCACCGAGCAATGTTGGATTTGAACGAGTGACAGTTCGTTCGAAAGCCGTTGAAATGGTCTATCGAGTGAGACCAAGCAATGTCTCCGATGATTGGAGGTAGACAACTTTTGCCGCTTGGATATCGACGAAACACGGCCCGGAAGTTAGAAATCAGGGTAAATGTAGGATGCACTGAGGTATGCTCGGGAAACTGGTATCACAAAGTAGAGCTTGTAAAAGCACGACGAATGAATATGGATCCAAAGGTGTGCGACAAAATGTCGCTGAACCACAGTTAAAAAACCACGAGTGCACAAGTGAGCGATTAGCACGCAACTTCTCTCAAGGTCAACCTTGAGGCTCGTGTGGCTAGCCATTGTCCTCTGCACAGTTTGTAACTGGCATGACAGTGGAAGATGAGATGGGCTATATCATAGTCAATTGTCCATCACGCAGGTCCGCGGCTGTCAGCCATGGCGAATTGGCATTAGCAACCGGCGTCCTGAAGTCATGTGGACGGAACCCGGCAGGGGTCCGCTGGGAGGCGCACCACTGGCGAGACCCAGAATGTCGAAACGCCAGCGTCTGGTGATTTTCCAGAGTAGCCTAAGTCTGCTGATTGGGAGTGACGATGATGAATTAGCTGAATTATACCAAAATCCTCACTACTACTCATCAGTACTCACTTCTGTCCCGCGTTCTCAGGTTTACTTAACATGCTAATCCGGTTTGGAGGGATAATTAATATATTCCAAATTTGCACAGTTTAGGCAACGAAGTGATGGGGCCAAGGGCAAGATCCAATCGCTTTTTGAAAATATCTAAGGTGGGATAAGAAACAACGAAGTTTGGGAGACAGTTACAGGGTTGGTAAACCCGAAGAGCAAAATAACTCCGCCGGCATTCCAGGCGGCTAAACTGTGCACACAATTTCAGATGGTTACCTCTAAGATTTGTATTATGGCTGAGTTTCAGCAAGTGAAGGCATACGTGATTAGGGTCACTCAATATTTGATAGACTAATATGAGATCGCCGCGCAGCCTTCGGTAGAGGCCACTGAAAACTCCCAGTGAGGGTTTTGTTTCAGTGCTAGTCGCAATTGAACAGGCGTTTAATCGTGTTGGATCATAATGTTTTGGAAATTAGGTCGTGCGACAACTATTCTTTTACTGCGTACGAATTTTGATGTACTCCTACTGTCTGGAAAGTTTGGAAGTATCAAACATGAGGTGATGTTTTCCTTTTTCCTCAGTCTGAGGCATTGATGCAGAACTACATCCATATTGCATGCTTTTAAAATGGTATTTGTTACTCTCGATGTTCCTTTTATCAGGTACGTTAAAAACGATAAAGTGTGCGATCTACGAAGGCTTTCTTGTGTTTCGGATGCAACTGAATTTAGTAAAGAACCAGCTGTGCACAATGTGTCTAGTATAACATTTGCTGAACCTCTAAGCAGTTCATTGAATGATTGAACCTGACCATAGTTTGTGCTGAATTCATTGCATTTTGCTTTTCAACGTGGCTACTTTTTCCTCAATGGCTATACTCCGAATTGTCGTTTCAGTCGGATGATGGTAATGAACTTGGAGTGCTACACAGCCAGATCCGATATTTTCGGAGTTTGGATGATGGACGTGTCCTTTTTACAGCAAGAACGGATGGATTTATAGTAGTGGTATCAGTGGATTTTGTAGTCGTTTCAGGTTTCACCTTCAGCTTGAGTAGAGAGATTCTCGTTTTCACATTGGCAACAAGCATTTCTAGTAGATACTCGGAAGAATGTTTAGGTGTCAAGCATACGGCTAATAAATCTTAATATTGAGTAGGAATACAACCACAGGGGGATGAGAAAACGACATGACGCACTTGTTACTACTATAAGCGGTATGAACCGGCCGGTTTAAATTGCAGCCTGTTTTTATTGATTAGCCGATTCTTTGGGACTCTGTAGAAAAAGTCCAAGATGGCGGACACAGATGGCAGTTGGGTCACTCAGTGTGATCTCCGAAGTTAGTCAGAGAATCTCCACCAAATTTGCACATGTAGAAAATACACCAACAGAATAACTTTGGTGCACGATTCACACAAAGAGTATGTATAACGCAGTAATCTCGAAGCGAAGTTAGAACCCAACACGGCACTACAAAAATCCGTAGCATCCGTAGATACAGCCAGGTGGCACACTCAAGATGCGGGCATCGCTTGCAATGTTGCCTACCATAACCGAATTCGTACTTATGCAAATTCGTCCATTGCTGCGCCGCTGACACCCCAAAGTACCGAATTCACGCCGACCGGCAGCCGAAAGGAGTACGCGTTTGCCTTATAATCCGGAAGTCTCCGGTTCGAATCCGCGTAGATGCGGCGACGTTGCACTGTACTCAGACCACATGCGACTGTTCGTGGTCGCGTGGCAACGAAGCGTCGGTACAGTACTTCAGCGTACTGCTGATGCGTTTCCTTTTTTTCTTCGTGTACCTGATGATTACAAGTAATTGAACAACCAGTCGGGGACCGAAGTCATGCACCTATGTTGTATATTCGCATAGTCAGTGTACCTGTGAAAATGCACTGTCCGACTAAAGTCACCTGGGAAGTGAGTACTTATTTACACCTGTAAAACGGAACGTAAAAATTAACCCCCGATACTTGTTGTTCGTGAGCTTTTCAACCGATGTTTTGCTGTGTGGATGCAGGTGCAGGAAAGTTGGCTGCGGTCAAATATTTTCTAAAATTTTTCGTCCTATTTATCCATGGCGGATAAGCATTGTCCCCTGTTGTCCTTAGAACGATGTTATAAGCAACAAGCTGATCATTCTCGCCCTTCATGCCATTAGGAATAAGTTTGAATGTCGCGTATGGTTCCTCAACAACTATGGCTTTCAATGTTATTTTATTCAGTGAGTAGGACATACCGCCTAGGACTGCTATTCGACCTTTGCCGTTACCTGAAGTCTAGCTGATGTGTGAGTTTACGAACATCCCTTATAGGTGATGCAAATTAGTCTATGTAATAGTAAAAGTTCGGACCTGCTGTCGTGGCAATGTCTCAGGGGTGGAAGGGGAGGAATGAGCCAGCAAAATGGTGGATAACTACAACTTCTAAGCCTGTTGCGTTTAGCCTTCCAAAACAGTCATGTACCACAAACTGCAAGGTTAAAGCCACAAGCTCATTGTATCGCCCATATTTGAAATCCGCTTACCTTTCATCCTCTGTATAGCTCTGCATAACTCTGTCACCAGACACGAATCCAACCTCGGTTCCGCATTGAATAGCCATGCGGAATAACTCCGTGGCTCCTCTTCGGCCTGGACTTCATTGGTACTTTGTTCTGTCGCCGCTACCGACTGTATCGCAGCAGAAGGGCTATTAGAGATGCTTCTCGGTGACCCATAGAGCAGCTCCCTGATTCCCGGACCGGACGGAGGACGCAAGCGTTCAGGTGCGTTGATTCCTTCCTCACTTGCCTCCGCAGCACTAGAAGACTCAATTGATTCCGGTATACTGCTTATGGATAACAGAACACTTGGACCAAATCGCTCCTGCAGCATGCTCCAGCTTTGTTTATCCTACCAAAAGTAAAAATATATTTGCTGCAAATGTAGTATGATAACAGCAAACAGCTGAGACGATCGTATAGCCTACAACATTTGACCTGCAGCGTATCAGAATAACGGAGTTGTTGAACGCAGATGGTCAGTGGCACGTGAATGACTTTTTGAGCTAACGGGACGCTAAATAAATGATCTGTTATCGGTACACCTGAGCACAGGTTCTGCAGATTAAATGCCGCGCCTTGACTTATTGTGCAGAACCTAGCTAATGACTTCCACACGTTAAATATTTTTCTGCTGCTAAATAAAAATAGTAAAAACCCAGGTTGCAGTCATGCAACGTGACATCCACATTAGCGACATTTCCTGATCTTAATCCAACTCAACAAAAAAGCACGCATGCGATAGCCAAGTAAAGTTCGCATATAAGCGAATACTTATCGACTGGATGTTATACCTCCGCGAGTGAGTAAGAGAGAGTAATAAATAAGAATGGCGAAGACGGATTTGAAAGCGAAGCAACGTGCGTCTAGATGGCAGGTTAAAAAATCAGTAGCAGGTATTGCTATTTCAAAATGATACGTGAAAAGAAACAACCCTTTTTGGCAATAACAAACATACCGTCATTAAATTAGCTTGTCAAAAATTCAGAAAAATGTGTTGTTCATTCAAGTTCACGCGGGCGTCAATACATTTTCTCCCTGAGGATTTACATGCACACACTACCAGGGACACTCTAATAGGCCAAGAGACATTAGCCAATGGAACAATCTGGATGTAAGCACTAGGCTAGATCCATGGGTTTATGGGGGACGAGTATGCTTCCGGGTAGGGTGGCATCTAGGTGTTAACGGAAGGCCGACAGGGATGAGAGCGACAGTACTAGAGGTCAACAACAACGCGCCTGACTGTGGCTGCTCAACTTAGGATAAGATGTCTGACCGTCTTCCCTCAGTACCCTTTTGACAGGTCTTTTGTCGGCAAGTGTTACCATTGGTTTGTATTCTGACCCGGCCGGTAGTCGGTGTCCCTGTGCCACATTTCCAACGCTTGTCCGAACAGTCTGTAAGGTATCGAGCGCACAGTAGGTGATCGGTCCAAGGTGCACAGTACCAGTGGCACATTTAGATCTCAGTTTCGTATTGCCACTGGTCGAAACAATATACCGCTTGATAATAATAATACTGATAATAAAAATAACACAAATAATAATGATAAAATTCGGCTTATTTCTCATCAAGTGAAAAGCTGTGACAATATTTGGCACAGAAAATTCACGCACTGGTGATGGCATGCTCTTGCAAAAGCATATTTGTCTGTATTTTTGGCAAAGTATTTGCCCCATATGTTTGTCGAACGCGATGGTAGGAGGCACGTTTGCAGTTTGGGTAGGTTGTAGACACCGAGGACTCATTAACTTGCGTGGATTTGTGATATTAACCCCATTAGACTTTATTTGGGCTTTTGTTGAGTGGATGTTCGAAGGATCTTCCCCACGAAAAGCGACAAAATTGTGTCCGGGTAGAGGTAGCTTCCCAAGTTATTGCGATAGGATTGCACAGTTGCACACGACCTGATGGTGAATGGAAACCGATTCCACAGAGAAGCATATGTGGTGAGACGAAAGTTAGGCCGCAAATTTGTCTTGCATTGTGGTATAATCAGAGTAGGGTCTTTGTTACCTAGGTCGCGCATGTAATTATGCTTCAATGTTACGGTGAATCGATTGCAATGGGTATTGTCATGAATCAGATTGTGCAGCAGTCCCCAGTTATCTTATAGTCTTCGCAGCCAAAGCGGATGGAGATGGAGTTGCTGACATCACTCCCGAGAGTTTATGGTATAATATTTTCCGAATAGGTGCTTAGTAAATAATCGTTGCAGGCTTTCTATCGATGCTCTGTCTGCTTTCTTCATATAGCCATGGATAATGCTGCGATACCGCAGTATAGGGTGATTAAGGAGTTTAAAAGTGTTCAACTGTAGCTGTGATTGTAAGCATGTTATAAAAGATGTTAGCGAAGGGTTGTCTGGCTCGTGCAATTTGGTACGCAATCTTTTCAGAGAACTTGAAAGTACAAGGAAATTTGATTCAAAAATCGTAGGTATACCGTTGTACACAGATGCGTTCGCTGTTACGTGTGATAGATACTTCGGGTGCAAAGCGAGCGCGATATCTGATACTTGACTGTTGTGCTTAAAACGTCACCACCCACTTGTCCAACCAAGTCTCAAGCGAATGAAAGCATTTTGTATGAGTGGTAATGCATTCGGAAGCTCAACTCCTCGGACAAACGTTATATTATCAACAAATAAATACAGCAAGCCATGTTTCTTAACCGGACTGCTATCATAGAGACCACGAAGGAAAATTAATGTACCGAACGAAATCCTTGATAAACCACGATTGTAATTGGACGAGAAGAAGAGCAAAAGGGGACTAACGTGATTAGTTTAGCGGGACTGTACATGTACGAGGATAGCTAACACATTATTGCGTTCCGATCTTCAAAGAAGCCTATCTGAATCGGTAACAGTTTCGAAGGTACCCGAGACTAACCACAACAGCTACAAATATCTGCGACTATTTAAGGACCCATACTGCTCTGTATCCGCCATGCAGAGCAATGCATGCATCAGGTCCCCTCCTATCCATCGAGCAAAATTGTCAACTGTTGTACAGAAATATGTTTTATTCAAACCATGGAACAATGGAACAATGGTATATGACGGGTAAAAAAGCATACACTTAACGAGTACCGCAGGTTGGCAATAGAAATACTAACAAATTGGCAAACCACATAAGTAATTGAAGTAAGGGGCGTCAGTGAGATGAAAGGTAGAAGTATAACAGTTTTAGGGGGATAAAGTGGTACGACGCAAAACTGGCTAAGAAATTGTTATCGTTGGGGATGGTAGCAAATAAAAATGGAGTACTCACCGGTTCGTACAGATTTACGACCGTGAATTTGGGGTATAAATCCAAAGAGGCTGGTCAGCCTAAATATATACAAGCGGTTTCGTTCATAAAACAATGCGCAGGGGCTCAATGCGACGTCCAATCGTTTTTTAAACGTATCTAATGTGGGGGCACAAACAACTGAGTTTGGAAGGGCGTTCCAGGGCCCGCAGACCCGGAGGGTGAAATAGGTTCTCCGACAGTCTAGACTACTATACTGTTGGCTCAGCTTTAAACTGTTACCGCGAAGCTTAGTGTTCGGGCTGAGCTTCAAGAGGTGGCGGCATACGTGACTGGGATCGCTCAATATCTGGTACACTAGTATGAGGTCTCCACGAAGTCACCGGTACCGTCCGCTGAACACTCGGAGTATCTCCAGTCGTTCCTGGTAAGGAGTGTGGCGCAAGCCCTTGACGATTTTCGTTGCTCGACGCTGTGGGGTCTCAAGTGCTGCAAGGTCTCGTTTTAGCCAGGGTTGCCAGGCCTGGATTGCATATTCGACGTGAGGACGCACGTAGGCATTCAGCATCAAAGAGAAGATGGATGGATCCAAAATTCCGAATGCTCTTCGCAGGAGTCCAACGTGCTGGTTGCCTTTTTTAGAAGCGGAATCTGACTGTTTGGAACACCCGAGGTCTTCCTGTACCAGCACACCCAAGTCGCGTTCCTGAGTGGTGGTCTTCAGATTGTGTGCCCCAAGCTTGTAGACGTGGACTTGTCGATGGCGGATATGAACAACGCGACATTTGTTCACATTAAACCGCAGGGCGTTTCTCACCGACCAATTCCAGGCCTCATTCAAGTCACGCTGTAGGACTTCATGGTCGTCCGATGGTTTTATCGCCCGCCAAACCTTGAGGTCGTCCGCAAAGAGCAAGAATTTCGACGTAATAACTCTTACTAGATCGTTAATGAAAAGCAAGAACAAAAGAGGCCCAAGTACCGAACCCTGCGGTACGCCGCATCCCACTCGAATCGGATCGGAAAAGGATGATCGAACTCTAACTTCTAACTGCCGTTCAGAGAGAAAGTTACCGATCCATCCTAACAACGGGTCTCCGATACCGTACTGTTGGAGTTTAATGAGCAGGATTCGATGATCCAGGCGATCGAAGGCTTTCAAAAAGTCCAAGAATGCAACATCGACTCCTGTTCCCTCATCGACAGTCTCGGTCCAGTTGTCACGAGCTATCAGCAGATTCGTCGTGCATGAACGATGTTGACGAAACCCATGCTGTTCTGGCGCAATTATGCCGTAGTTTTCCAAGTATCCCATTAACGCATCTGCTATCACCGCTTCCATGACTTTGGCGATCACAGGCAGAAGCGTAACGGGGCGGTAATTGGCAGGATCCGATTGACTTCCTGCTTTGTATATGGGTGTTATTACACCTTGTTTCCACCTCGAAGGTACGATGTTCTCATCGAAACAGCGCTGAAAAAATGCAGCTAGTGGTTCGGCCAAGTGGATGGCAGCTACCTGTAATGTTTTCGGGTGAATGTTATCAGCCCCGGGAGAGCTGTGTGGACGCAAAGATAGCAGCTTTTGCAGCACCATTTCTGCAGTGAACGTGACGTTGGATAAAACGGCCGGTGGGGTAACTAGTGGTGGAATATAACTCGAGGCTTGTACACCTTGGAAGTTTGGGGAGTACTGGGCCCGTAATGCGTTGACCGCCTCCTTCGCAGTATGTGTATACCCATTGGTCGTATTAAGTGGTGGGATTCCCCGTTACACCTTGAGAAGTCCATTCACATGTTTGTAAAGAAGCTTTTTGTTCGAACAGAATCGTTTGGCTAGCTCCTGCTGATGCGTTCTCTTGCCTTCGCGAACCAAAAGCACACAGTAGTTGCGATGCGAAATGTATTCCGTCAAGTTTTCTGCGCTGGGGTTGCTTTTATACATGCACCATGCCCGATCCCTTGGAGTCATGCATTTTCGCGTCCGGCTTCGCAAGAATGATTTCGCTCTGCGGGGATGTTGGGAAACTTTCGTTGTTGAGGCTTCTATGACTAGTGACGTGATGGTGTTCGCAAATGTCTCCCAGGCTAGTTC